CAGATCTGGAAAAAATCATCCATGCCTTTGAGTCATCACGCTTACACTACTGTAACGCTCTTTTTACTGGTCTCAACAAAACCTCCCTCTCACGCCTTCAAGCCATCCAAAATGCAGCAGCCAGACTCCTAACCAAATCCAGCAGACGAGCTCACATCACTCCAGTTTTACAGTCCCTCCACTGGCTCCCGGTAGAATATAGAATTCAGTTTAAAGTTTTAGTCCTGACCTATAGAGCTCTTAACAACCAGGCTCCAAGCTACCTATCTGAGCTTTTATCCCCACACATCACCTCTCGGAACCTTAGATCCACATCTGAAAACCTCCTGGCTGTTCCTCGAACCAGACTGAAAACCAAAGGGGACAGGGCCTTTCAGACTTTTGCACCCAGACTTTGGAACAGTCTACCTTCAAATCTCTGTCTCTCTAACACTGTAGAGGTCTTTAAAAATCATCTAAAAACTCACCTTTTCATCCAAGCGTTCCCTCCCTAAATGTTTCAAAAAGATGGCTTTGTTCGGGTTCACACCTTCACTTTGTTTTTACTCATGATTTTATTTTCTACGTTTATCACTGCTATTGTTTTTCTGATGTTTTTATTGGTTAGTGGAATTTGCCCTGATCTTTATCATGTTGTACAGCGCTTTGTGATTTATTTCTATGAAAGGCGCTATATAAATAAACTTTTACTTACTTACTTATAGGGTTGTCACGGTAACCGGTATAGCGGTAAACTCTGATAAAAAAGTTGACAATAAAAATAACCGTCCAGTTTTTAAAAAACGAAATTATCTCGGTGGGTTTACCGCGACCGCGGTTTAGGCGCGGTGACCCTTACCAGCCACCGTAGCTTCTGCTGAAGTTCCCGCGCACACGCACTTTTTAGTTTGCAACCAAAACTTTGAAGCTGAAATAATGGCCGAAGGAGGAGACGGCAGCGCCCAGGACATCCATCAGCCCTCAAAGAAGACTAAATCGGAAGTATGGGCATATTTTGGATTTCTGAAAAATGCTGAGGGACAGTTAATAGAAGACTGCTATCCCGTTTGCAGAACGTGCAGGAAAAAAGTGTCTGCAAAAGGCAGCAACACTTCAAACATCTGCGAAACCATCACCCACGTCTCTACAGCCAGTGCAAGGTAAGTCAACATGAGCATTTTAGCTTAAATGCATGACGTGAGGACTTTTGGTTGAGGGAGAATGCAACGAGTCACTATATACTGCATCCGCAGCGTCCTCTGCCAGCATTTAAACTGTGTCACAGACACCCTGTTGCTGGATGAAGCATCTTATTTGTTGATGAAGAGAAATTAGTTCCTTGTCATTGATTTGTTTACTTATTCAATGCCATTTATTCTTGAACATTTGGATTTGATTACATAGTGTAGTAGTTATTTTAGTAATTTGTTTAAAGTGGCTATTTGTTTTAAATACATATTTTTTTAAGGTTGACTTCAAGTCAAGTGTGGACTGGAGTTTTAGATTTTCATTTTGATAATGAAGAAAACAAGTATATGAGAAAACAAGTGGTGTTTCTTTGATTTGTTTACATATTGTTTATGTTTCGAATGTTTGGATTTGTATAATTTAAACCTGCACTGACTACTGTAACATGTTCCAGAAAAAGAAGCTTTGTGTTATTTTAGGTTTAATAAACATTGTTAAACCTTTTCAAAACTATTTCAGTTTGTGTAGAACAGGACTATCAATGCTTTCTGAACATACGCAACACCGTTTAAAAAATACCGCGATGATACCGAAAACCGTGATAATTTTGGTCACAATAACCGTGAGGTTAAATTTTCATACCGTGACAACCCTACTTACTTACTTACTTCAACTGTGAGAGACAGAATGTGAAAAAAAAATTCATGAATTCACATGGCAGGATTTTTAAAGAATTTGTTTGTAAATCAGGGTGGAAAATAAGTATTTGGTCACTTCAAACAAGGAACATCTCTGGCTCTCACAGACCTGTAACGTCTTCTTTAAGAAACTTTTCTGTCCTCCACTCGTTACCTGTATTAATGGCACCTGTTTGAACACATTATCTGTATAAAAGACACCCGTCCACAGCCTCAAACAGTCAGACTCCAAACTCCACTATGGCCAAGACCAAAGAGCTTTCGAAGGACACCAGGAAAAGAATTGTAGACCTGCACCAGACTGGGAAGAGTGAATTTACAATAGGCTTGGTGTGAAAAAAATCAACTGTGGGAGCAATTATCAGAAAATGGAAGACATACATGACCACTGATAATCTCCCTCGACCTGGGGCTCCACTCAAGATCTCATCCCGTGGGGTCAAAATGATCATGAGAACGGTGAGCAAGAATCCCAGAACCACACGGGGGGCCTGGTGAATGACCTGCAGAGAGCTGGGACCACAGTAACAAAGGTCACCATCAGTAACACACTACAACGGCAGGGAATCAAATCCTGCAGTGCCAGACGTGTTCCGCTGCTGAAGCCAGTGCATGTCCAGGCCCGTCTGAAGTTTGCCAGAGAGCACATGGATGATACAGCAGAGGATTGGGAGAATGTCATGTGGTCAGATGAAACCAAAGTAGAACTTTTTGGTATAAAATCAACTCGTCGTGTTTGGAGGAAGAAGAATACTGAGCTGCATCCCAAGAACACTATACCTACTGTGAAGCATGGGGGTGGGAACATCATGCTTTGGGGCTGTTTTTCTGCTAAGGGGACAGGACGACTGATCCGTGTTGAGGACAGAATGAATGGGGCCATGTATCGTGAGATTTTGAGCCAAAACCTCCTTCCATCAGTCAGAGCTTTGAAGATGAAACGTGGCTGGGTCTTCCAACACGACAATGATCCCAAACACACCGCCCGGGCAACAAAGGAGTGGCTCCGTAAGAAGCATTTGAAAGTCCTGGAGTGGCCTAGCCAGTCTCCAGACCTCAACCCCATAGAAAATCTGTGGAGGGAGTTGAAAGTCCGTGTTGCTCGGCGACAGCCCCAAAACATCACTGCTCTCGAGAAGATCTGCATGGAGGAATGGGCCAAAATACCAGCTACTGTGTGTGCAAACCTGGTAAAGACCTATAGTAATCGTTTGACCTCTGTTATTGCCAACAAAGTTTATGTTACAAAGTATTGAGTTGAATTTTTGTTATTGACCAAATACTTATTTTCCACCCTGATTTACAAATAAATTCTTTAAAAATCCTGCCATATGAATTCATGGACTTTTTTCACATTCTGTCTCTCACAGTTGAAGTGTACCTATGATGAAAATTACTGACCTCTGTCACCATTTTAAGTGGGAGGACTTGTACAATCGGTGGCTGACTAAATACTTTTTTGCCCCACTGTATTTTCGCTCAGTGTACATTTGTTCAGAGTTTATGGGTGTGAATGATTTGCTCCCACCCTCACAGCCCTACTCTCAGCTCCACCTCTTTTCCCATTTTTGGATTGTCTGGGCGTGACAAGACGTATGACACAGCCAAAACAGAGGAGGTGGCTTCACAAGAGAAACACAGTCAGAAATGTGCTCGGTTTGTCCATTATTTTTAATGTCTATGGTATGCACACAGGTGCTTGCATGGTGCTCTCACAAGTATGGACTCGGGCATCATAAACACATACCCTAAGGCTGTGGTTGGCACTAAATGCACTATGAATTATTACCGTGTTCTTTTCAGCAAAAATTGTTACCGTTATATATCCTCGTGTTTTTGGTGCAGTAACATTTTGGTTCTGTTGAATTTTTGTCCCCTTTTATTTCTCTCTCGCTTTCTGCAGGTCTAGAACTGGATTTTTGTATATCTTTTGTTTATTTTTGTAAACTTTTTCCCCCACCTCTTCCATTTCCATCTCCATCTCCATGTCCATTGGGATTAAAAACGACCAAAAGCCTTTCCAGTAGTTTTGATATCCAGCGGGGCATTATAGCTCAATCTGTAACGCTCTACCTGAGTATAATTGTAAGGCTTGTTTTGGCACTCAGACATCCATTCTAATTGATTTACAGCTGAACAGGACACAGAAGGGTGAATGGAGAGGCCATGGAAGAGCAGGAGTCAGGCAGTTCGGCGAGACTGACTGAGACTGACTACATTTACATGCAGCCAATATCCGGGTTATGATCGGGTTAAGGTCGGTATTCGGGTTTCTGAGTTGATCAGAATAACCCGTTTACAAGCATAAATAGAAAGAGTTACCCCTAACTTGCATAACCCAATTTAAATGCGGACGTTGGGGTAGCGTCAGGACGTATGGACTACGTCAAGACGCAATATGCGTCATTTTCGCTGTCTCTGTACTTTCGGCCGTCAACAAAAGACATAATGTTCGTACTTTTCACCAGACCGATGAAGACAGAGGTTTCCTCGTCACTCCAAAAGTGTGGTGCTGTGCCACGACTCACCATGTTGCTCCCAACTTGTTGTTTACTTCCGGTGTTCTGGCGCATACAAGACGTCTCGCTACTCAAAAGACCAAGATTTCTTGCGAACAGAGCATGCGCAGAACACACGCTTTGATGGGGATATCCCGATATGCGTTTACACGACCAAACATTCGGGTTAGAAAAGGGTAACCCCAGGTGTAGTAACTGGGTTTTTAAAAACCCGGTTATGAGCATATCCGGGTTTTTGGCTGTGTTTACATGGCCGTGCGGAACCGGGTTATTGTGAATATTCGGGTTTTAAAAGGATTACTGGCTGCATGTAAATGCACTCAATAGTTGCTTTTGGTCCAAACTGTGTTATTGGCAGAGGTTTTTAGACAAATGCGAGACAACAGCTTTTTATTGATTTTTTATCTCTACAATATATTTGTAGCTATACTACATAAAGTTGCATGAGAAAAATGTTTTAGGCAAGTTTGTGATTCAAACTTGCTATTGCAGTTTTAAAGACAGACCAAGTTCTGCATATTGCCGAGTCAAAATGATCAAATCTAGTGATTTCTCTGTTGTGGTGGTGGTATGGCATCTCAAATGTGACTTTAATCAGAGGCAACAACAGTCTCACCTCCTCCCTCAGCTCATACTGCTCAATGAGCTTCTTCAGCTTCTCCGCCAGCTCCATGTTCTCCTGCCTCAGTTTGGAGTTGTGTGAGCTATGCTGCTCCATCTGCACTTCGATGTCACTCAAGGTCATCTGAAAGTGAAGCATGGCCTCCTTACGCTGTTCCTCATACTCTCTGGACCGCTGGGCATTCTCCTCCTGTTAGGTGTTGGAGGAGGAACAGTCAGAAATAACTCACTGTTATTCCTAGCTTTTCCCCCTCAGTGTGTGTGTGTGAACAAACTATCTGCATAACAGGTGTAGATTCATCAGGTCTGTGTCAGGACAGACTTAATCCAGCAGTAGGATTTGTCAGGATGGTGCAGAGAACATGCAGATTTGGATTAAGCAGCTTTTATTTTCTACTACTTTCCTCAGGTGGGAATACAACATTACTGTCTGAAATTATTTCTAGTATTGTTTTAGTGTGTTTAGATTAAAACACATTATCCTGGGGTAGTGAGCCAAAATCAGATTGCCCTCAAAAGTTTTCTTGCTTCCCCATCCTGGTTCTTGAAAAGTTCTGGAGATTAATATCAAGCATGATGAGCAGGAGGCAGGCTGCCTGTGTTGCATGACTCTGGACAGACTCAGGAGGACATGCCGCCTGGCAAATGCAGAGATACAAGCTGTAATTATCAGCCTTTAGGTCAGCTTCCAAGTGCCTGAACCTGGCCAGAACCATGAGGAGGAGACTCCTGAGATGGATCAGAGAATCAGGTGGGAATTAGCAGCCTGGATGCCCACTCCTTGCTGACCGGTCTTGGTCGGAACCAAGAAGAGGAGCAGTCTGGGTCACAAGCAGAGTAGCAGGCATGAATTCCTGCAGGATTATCTTCAAATGTACATTTCTAGCAGCTAGCTTAGCTTATCTAGAGGCTAACTAAAGGAGAACACGGACTCCTCCTGAACACACATACGTCACTCATGGCACACGCTCTCACAAGGTGGTACCAACCCACACGACTTTAAAATACACTTTATCCCTACCTCTACATTGTTTCTTTTTACAAAATGATTGCATAATACTGCTTAAGTAACAACACTAGCATGGTACCACCTAGAAACGGAGGGCTTTACCTTCAGTGTCTTGTTGTGTCTCTGCAGCTCCCTACAGAGACTCTCCAGCTTGCTGCGTGCTAGGATGGCCTTGCTGTGATCGCCCTGTAGATGGACCTTCTCCTTTATTATCTGAGATTGCTTCTTTTGCAAGGCTTTCAGCTGTTTCTGCATGCAGCGGCTCTCTTCCAGCTGAACAACCCACAGAGACAGAAACAGAAAGATGCGCTTTAGAAAACCGGCCCGGCCTCTCAAATACAGTTTGTTCCACTCCTGGTAAGCTTGTGTTGCTATAAGCTAACGGGTCGTATTATGATGAAAAAGGGCATGTCGCCATTCTTCCGGTTAGCTTTTAGCAACACAAGCAGTAAACAGAGGCTGGCAGGGGTGAAGTGGACAGAATTGAGAAAAGATATGCACAATGGCTGAAGGAATGTACACAGGGCTTTATTTGAGCCGGATCTTGCCGGAACAAGATCCCGCAACTGTCTTATTTTGAAAGGACCGCTCCGTCAACTGTCTGCTAGGTCCCGGCAACTCACGCGACCAACTTGTGCTATACGTTGCCAACACATTCTCACACAACGCGTCGGAAATAAACGCTTGGTCACCCTTCGTCAGTTTTAGCCGATTTGGGTGTGAGGTGTGAGCAGGGTTTGAATTACGGGTGAGCTAAAGGGAGCCCCTGGAAGCCCCCAACTTACACACCCATGGGGAGCCCGGCAAAGATCCTGGTTCTGCTTATATTACATTATCTATGTGGACTCTCAGGGATTACTTTGACCTGAGAGGCGCAGACCTCTGATCATTGATGAGCTCCAGACAGATGCGTCCTGAGCATGGCCACTGTAACATCATCAAAGTGTCGCCACTGTGGTTAGAAATCTGGGTTTTTTCATTGATGGCCATTTTAAACTTGATAAACAGATAAGTTCTGTGGTCCAGAGCGTGTTCTTTCATTTGTGTGTTCTTAGTAAAGTCAAGCCCTATTTACCACTCAACGACTTTGAAAAGGTTATGCAGGGGAACAGTAAAGATGCAAAAACTACCATTGTTAGAAGAAATCTGTGTTGACTTTGAAAATGTGGGCGCAAGTTCAAATTACTTGGCAAAAGCTCAAGCGCCACCCCCGTGCATGTTTTGGCATCGGCTTAGCCTTTAGTGAATTTTGGTCTGACGTCAGTATTTGCGTTCCGGGAACGTTTGATTTACAAATTAAGCACTGAGTGTACAACAACAATGATGCAGCACAGCTTATTTGTTACATATTGTCCTGTTTTATGGTGTTATGTGTGTTGCTTTGTGTCAACGGTGTTGTCAGAAGACTGCTTCTGTGGTGTCATCACTTCAGAAATACGAGCACCCAATCGGTTTAGTTCAGGTAACCCGTTTACATGCAACATGTAATGGGATTGCTACTGCTTTATCTGGGTGCTTCAGCTCGATCAGCCTTCAGCCAGTCTAACACATTTCCATGCAATTTTAAAAAACTGACAAAAGTCTTTTTAGGGCAATACTTCGGTTTTCTGATGTGCATGTTAACACACTGATTGCCAAAAGCTCCAAAGAGTGGATTTTGCATGATATAGAACATTTAAATGCAGCTGTTCAGATCTCACCAAGTCTGCATATTTCTTGCACAGAGCAGCTAGCTTCTCCTCTGGAGTGGTTAGAGCATTCAGAGCTTGCATCAGAAGACCAACCTCCTTCCCTACAAAAGAGAAACAAGGAGAAAAAAAAGCATTAACCCAACTAGACCTACTTTTTAAAATTACTGTAAGAATGTTTTTATATATTTATATTTGTATAATTTAGAATGATTTGTCATTAGTTTCTGATTATTTTTCAAAGACATTGTAAACAACAGATGCCTCAAAACCAATTGGACCATTCATGTACAAAGTTCAAACTTGGTGGAGCCACTACTAGCTTAACACCGCATAGTGTTACCAAACAACGTATTGCTACATTTTGTTATAATTCATGACCATGTTTTCCCTGTCACTGTTTTGCATAGTTTTGTAATTTTGTTTTGTTTGTTTTTTATTAACATCACTAGCTTATAGTTAGCCTCAGTACTACCTTCTGGTTAGCTTCTGTAGTAGCTAATTGTGTAGCCTCAGTAAACATTTGGTTGGAGAAGACTTATTAGACTTTAGTTCAGCTTTTGGTGTCACTGATCATGATCTTCTATTACAAAAATTACAGTGTTCTGGTTTTCAGCCCAACAGCAGTCCTTTGGTTACAGAGCTACCTGAAAAACAGGAGACAAACTATTTATTTTAACAGAAGTTTTTCTGAAGGAAAATCGTTTTTTTCCACAGGGAAGTTGCCTGGGGCTACTTTTATACTCAATATTCACAAATGATTTACCGTTTACCCTGAAGAGTGCAAAAGTCTCTAGATATGCAGATGATTCTACAATCTAGTCATCAAAACCGTCAGTAGAGGAACTTGAACAGGTCCTGACAGAGGAACTAAAGTCGGTTGTTGAGTGGATAACAAGTAATAGACTCAATCTAAATGTGGCCAAGTCTAAGTGCATTGTCTTTGGAAACAATAGGATGCTGCTGGATCAACCTGACCTAAAATTAAGGGTGAAAGATGTGATGGTTGAACAAGTAAAGGAAAAAGAACGTTTGGGTGTAATAATTGATAGTAAACTGTTGTGGCTAAAACATATAACTAGACTGGTCAACAGGATGGGCAGAGGTCTCTCGGTTGTTAGAAGATGTTCTTATAAGCTGCCTTTCAGTGTGGTGAAAAACATTACTGAAACACTTTCACAGTTAGATTAATGTTCAGAGATCTGGTCATGTGCTACTCAGTCTCATATTAAACTGCTGTCCAGAATAAAGGAGCTAGATGTGTACTACGATGCTCATATAGAACGAATGTCAACTGGATGCACATTTTGTTTATCATGGTTAAAGGTAAGAGAAAGATTTAAGTCATCACTTCTGAATTTGACTAGGAAAATTATAATAACTAAAGTATCAAGAAAACTATACCCGGTGCTCAGTTTTAGCATACCCATGAAACCAGGCATGCTGTTGAGGGTAGGTTTATTCTTCCTTGAGTACTATCAGACAATGCTAAGAGAACTGTAATGTATAGATCAATGTTTACATGGAACACATTGCCTGGTTACATTATCAAAGAAAAAAATAAACATCATTTCAAAATTCTTTTAAAGACTTGTTTGCTTGCTGAACAGCTACATGAACACTGACATTAGCTGCGTTTACATGTGCCAAATTTCCTCAATCCGACTGAAATCTTGGTTGATCGGAATTTCCGAATCTCTGTTCACATGGACACGAACTGAAATGATCTGATCATGCCGTGCGTACATACGCACCAAGCATTTAATCCGAGTAAATAGGTTGAGCATGCGCAGAGTTGCCTTTCCCGAAAGAAAAATTGTAAACAAACGCCATGAAACGAAATGAAAAATGTAAAAACAGAAATAACCATTCTTCCTGCTTTCCTGATCCATTTATTCAATTTAACATTTTTATTTAGCTGATAGAAGTTACGTTTTCTTCAATGAATAACTGCAGATATATGCTTTACTGCATTTTATTGTTGATTAAAATAAGGGAGGGTTATGTCTCTGCCTCTTGATCAGCTGTCCGCGGGTCTGAAGTGACAGCTGTGCTGTTGCGCTGCGGCACAGAGCGGGGGTGGGGTGGGGGGTTAGACTCATGTTTTATTACGGAGTTCTGTTGTGGCTTATTATTAATACCATGTGACAATCAGCTGAAACTGTTGAGAAAAATCTGTTCAAACAAAATAACAGAAGATGTTCAGAAAGTTTAGAAGCCTGTGTTCATCATTAACGAACCGCATCTCAGGTCATCTGCGTTTACGTGCTTTTAACACGGACTTTACTGTCGTCCAGAGTATTTAACCGAGGACGCTTTCCTACCCAACATCAGCCTCCAGTCAAGTCTGTAAACCCCATATTATCTTGTGTTCTTTACAAGTGCGTCTCCATCACCTGCTGCAGAACCTGCTGCGTTCAAAGCTGACAGAAACGGGGGTCCGTGCGCTGCAACCCCCGCAATAAACCTGCGTATTTCCAGTACAGATTTGAACATGCTTGTCGAATGACTTGTGCAATAATCAGATTTTTATTTTACTTCCACAAAATGCAAGTTCTGAATTGAATATTACTGAAACGGGGACGGCTTGTCGTCGGATGTAAAAGCCGCCGCTCGTTAATTACACCGTCATTTTTTAAGTCAGGCAGTCCAAATGACAGCGGAGAGGCCCGCTCACTGTTGCACACATGCGCAGTGGGCATTATTTTACCCCAACAATCCGAATGGCTGTGTACATGCACGTCAATCGGAATGAAGAATGGGATAAACCACCTCTCTCAATCGGATTGAAATTTCAATCCGATCGGGCCAAATCGGATCAGAATATTCCGATTGACATGTTTACATGCAGAATTTTCGATCTGAATGGGCATTCAATCCGATTAAATATGCGCATGTAAACGTGGCTCGTATGTATACTCCTCATCCTAATGAAAATGTATTTTGAAATTTATAACTATTAAGAAATTTAACCCATAGAGTTCTGCAGTCTTTGTAACATTAAAAAACTAAATCAATAATTTGTAAACTAGGTTCTGTGTGTTTGATCTCTTTTTTGTGTATACATATTTTGATCAGGATCATTCATGGATGTAAATTCAAAGAGTCAGAGTACCCGGCCCGGAGGGTTACCGGGGTCCCACCCTGGAGCCAGGCCTGAGGTTGGGGCCCGTGAGCGAGCGCCTGGTGGCCGGGCTTTTGCCCATGGGGCCCGGCCGGGCCCAGCCCGAACCGGACACATGGGCTCATCCAACTGTGGACCCACCACCCGCAGGAGGAACATGAAGGGTCCGGTGCAATGTGGATTGGGTGGCAGACCAAGGCGGGAGCCTTGGCGGTCCGATCCCCGGACAAGAAAACTGGTTTTTGGGACATGGAACATCACCTCGCTGGCGAGGAAGGAGCAGGAGCTTGTGGGAGAGGTTAAGCGGTACCGGCTAGATATAGTCGGACTCACCTTGACACATAGCAGTGACTCTGGAACCCAAGTCCTTGAGAGGGGTTGGACACTCTCCTTTGCTGGAGTTGCTCCGGGTGAGAGGCGGAGGGCTGGGGTTGGCTTTTTGTTAGCCCCAAGACTCTCTGCCTGTGTGTTGGGGTTTACCCCGGGAGACGAGAGGGTAGCTTCCCTGCGCCTTCGGGTCGGGGAACGGGTCCTGACTGTTGTTTGTGCTTATGGGCCAAATATCAGTTCAGAGTACCAACCCTTTTTGGAGTCCCTGGGACAAGTGCTAGATAGTGCTCCATCAAGGGAATCCATTGTCCTGCTGGGGGACTTCAATGCTCAATAGGGAAATGACGCTTTCTTGTGTAGATCAAGCATCCATTATTTGGTCCAGTACAAGTGAAAATAATTTGCATAAGCTACAAGTAGCACAAAATAAAGCTGCTCGTATTGTTTTAGGCTGCCCTTACAGAACAAATGTGGGAACCATGCATGAAAAACTTGCTTGGCTTGATGTGAAGAGTAGATTGAAGTATTTCTTGGTAACAACTGTGAGGAAAATAATAATTACAAAAACACCAAAAATTATACATAGCAAATTATTGTTTTTTTCAGATAATCATACTTATAATACACGACAGATAAATGAGATGAAATGTGTTTTACACGCAGTAGAACAAATCAAATTCAACGATCTTTTCACTATAAAGCTATGCTTGCATGGAATGCATTACCTAGATTTTTAATTTTTGAAAGTAATAACATTTCTTTTCATAAGAAACTGAAAATTTTTTTGTTTACACACTTAATTGTATAGTGACTATGAACTCTGCAACGAAGGATTGAGAATCTGTGTTTGAGGTCGAGTACTGGATATCGATGAACTATGATACGAAACAATGGACATGATGTCACCATTCTGTTATATTTTATTTTCAATCTTTATTGGTTTGATTAACTCCTTTCCCGATATTAGTTTATATATGTAATTTTGTTCTAGATATGTGATTTCATCTTGAGCTACAGGTATTATGGGAATTAGGGATGTGTGTGCTTGAATGTGTGTGTGTTTGTGTGTCAAGTGTATTATCTCATGTAAACAATTGTATGAAAATGTATGAGACCCCAGGAAGACTAGCATCTGCACTTAGGCAGAAGCTAATGGGGATCTCAATAAAACGAAACGAAACGAAATGAAACAGTTTGACCTGGAGGGGTGTGATTGGGAGGATCGCCTGATCTGAACTCGAGTGGTTTTCCTTATTGGACTTCTGTGCAAGCCACAGTTTGGCCATAACGAACACCATGTTCGAACATAAGGATGGCCATCAGTACACTTGGTACCAGGGCAGCCTAGGTTGCAGGTCGATGATAGACTTTGTAGTTGTATCATCTGACCTGAGGCCGTATGTTTTGGACACCCGAGTGAAGAGAGGAGCGGAGCTGTCAACTGATCACCACCTGGTGGTGAGTTGGATCAGATGGCAGGGGAAGATGCCGCGTAGACCTGGCAGACCCAAAGGCATAGTGAGGGTCTGTTGGGAACGCCTGGCAGAAGAACCTGTTAAGACGGTCTTCAACTCCCACCTTCGGCAGAGCTTTGACCGCGTCCAGAGAGCAGTGGGGGACATTGACTCCAAGTGGGCCTTGTTCCACTCT